AGGAACATTATACGATAGTGTCTAAGACCTCTTCCAGCTCTGAGATTTGGTTAACTTTAAAAATAAATCTTTTTGGCTATTTCTCAATACAAGACATCCTAGGAGATATAATATTGACTGAGAAGCTCCCTCCCAATGTGAAAGGGGGCTAGTCAGGTTTTTATGTGTTTACATATTAAGGCAGTTTTGTGTTTCATTTCATTTAAATGTGATATTATTCTATCTTCTAACTCAAGAAACACAGAAGGTTAGAGTAACATTTTAATTAGGAAAAAAAGGGTGTGCTTCAATGACATATTCATTATCAGAGACCTTACCAGATGTGGCAATAACCTAAGAAGGGCATCTGGGCTCTCTCTGTGTCCCGACGACGTTCCTCTACCATTGCCAAAATCTCCTGCTCGCCTTCTCGCTGAGTGTCTGGGGGGGAAGTTGCTGCTTCCTTGGCGAGAAATGAGGAGATGGATTTGCATGAGACTGGGGCACAGGCACTGCTGCACAGAGTCATGGATGCATGGCCATCCCTTGTCTGGATCTGGGTACCCAGTGATGTCCTAGCATTTGAGGCAACACCAGTGCTTAATTCTTAGTTACTCACCTTTGTGTAAACCACCTCAATCCTTGCCCTCCTACCACCCTTGGGAATGTCATGCCCATGCTGCTTGTAACAAGGTTGACTTGTGTAGGGAGTTCTTCTCCATGGACTTGAGCATTGGACTGTTCAAGTCAGCCACTGTCGTGGTAGCCCAAGCAACCTTGTGCTGGGGAACAGTTCAAGTTTACGAGCTCGTCTGCAGGGACTGGATGAGACTGTGAGTATAACTTACTCTATACTGTGTGGTTACCTGTTGATTTTTCTTGTTCCAAGGTAAATTTAGTATGTAGAATCTCAAACTTATGAAGTTGATAGAGAAGAAAACGAATTTGTTTTACATGAACCTGAAGAGATATTCAAGATGGAATATATAATCTTCTGCACGATCACTCCTATTAATTGATCTGTCTTGTTTTATTTGATATCATAAAAGTGTAGACAAAAGGAAGTTACACAGTTTTTAAATGTGTACTCAGACAGACATTGTTATGTTCTGGGAAGGGACAGGGTGGGGTATAGTGAAGAAAAACAGGGATAAGAACTGGTAATGAAACCAAAAAAGGGAAAATGAATTCCTAAGGAAGGCCAGTAAATCTCAGGAGGCTTGATGTTACCCATGAACTGAAATACCCCACAAGCTAGTGACAGCACTTGCTTTGCCCCTTCCTCATCAACAGGTCTCTTCTACATCTGTCCAGGGCTTTAATTATTTCTTCAGTGAAATATTTCTCCCTCCCTCCCACCTCCCTGTCTCTCAGCCTTTCTCCCTTCTCTCCTCTGTCTCCTCTTCCCTTCTTTCTTTTTCTCCTTTCCTTCCTTATTTCCTCTCTTCCTCTGTCCCTTTCTCTCTCACTTCCTCCCTCTCTTCCTCTGTGTCACTTACTGCTCTAAGTCCTGAAAAGACGTAACACAACAACGGATGAGATCTATTATTAACCCCATGTTAGGGATAACTGACATCAAGGCAACCAGCATAAAGAGGTAAAATGCTTCTCCTCCATGACTTGGAACGGAGTTGGGGTGACTCAGGGGCTCTGATCATGGCACTCTGCCCCAAAACGCCTGCCCTGACTTCTTATTGCCTGTAGAGTGCATAAAGCTCCATGCTGGATGGCCCTTTACAGCACACGACCCCGACCTGTCTTCTCAAATATATTTACCTCTTGCCCCTTCCAGGAAGGCCCCCATGTTGTAGCATTGTCAGAATACTCGCTCTCAAACATAAGCGGGCTTTTGTAACTCTATGATGCATGCCTTGTATGTAACACTCTGCCTGCTTTCTCATGTCCTTCGTTGCCTAAAGCTCCTACTCATCCTTCAGAACACACACCACCTCTCCTGACACTCACAGCTGAATTAGTTACTACTCACCCTGGATGCCCACGGAAAAATACTCACCTTTCCATTATAGTGTTTATTATATCGCACTGGATTATTCATACTTTCATCTCGCCCACTAGACTCTGAAGTCCCAAATAGAAGCAATGGGACCTTATTCAATGGCAAACCCTGTGGTTGCCACCTAGTTTGTGTTCACTGTAATAAGGGATGTCAATTACACAAGTAATGCATCATGGGTGTGTAACTCATGTGTCATGATATCAGTAGTATTGACCTCACATGTAAATATTTTATAACTATACATAATAATAGTATAAACAAGTGTTTCATATGAAAATCTAACTTGATAAAATTTAAAATTGGTTTATAAAAAGTTTGTCTTTCTGTTTCTCTAAACCAGCAGGAGCTTGAAGTCAGTGATTTAAACAGGCCTCAATTTAGGAAAATGTGACATGCATGTACTTTTCAAAAATACTTCTATTAAGTAAAATAATACACATTTTCTCTCTCCCTCTCTTCACACACACACACACACACACTACATATGGCTATCTTGTCTGTGAATATCTTCATTTTTTTTTATTGTGTACTATTTTGGGTTAAGAATCTTTTCTCTGTACTTATATTTATAAGGAATAAGTCTTCTGCTGGTAAAATCAATATAATTTTAGCAGTTCAATGACCATGTTGCAGAAATTGTTAGCATTAATTCTAACTTTGTCCAACATCATGTCACGTAGTTCATATATATCTACTTTATGTGGTCCTGCATAAATTGACCTTCACTAGCTTCTGATTTCTTTGACTTTATTTCTAAATTCAAGCATATCCCTTTGGTTAATGTTATTTGGGTATTAAATATTTTCTTAAAGTGGTATGTAAATACACACATATGTATGTGTTTATGTGTTGCGTGCATGTGAATATTTATTCATTGTCTATATAGTCCATTCTAATATACTAGTATGTAGTGTATGTATGTATATAGTCCATATATATTTTATGTTATGTGGAGTGAGAGAGGGAGAGAAAGATACACACACCATATCCACACATGCTCTATGGTCCATTACAGAGCACCATTAATACATAGCTCCCTTATCCTTTGAGGCCAGCTAATGACTTCCACGTCATGAAGCTGAATGGTCCAGCTGGACATTCTGGACTAAAGAACATCCATGCAGCTACCGAACTGTAGCTGCTCTCAGCCAGTGAGCACTGTGTCATGAAACCCGGAGTCCAGTGTGTTCTGCAAATTGCGTTGTTTCCTCTGCTACCTTTCTCTGGTCATTCATTTGGTGCTCTGGTGAACAATTCTGTGTCAAAATGACCGACAAATCGTGCCCGTGACAGAGCTGGATCTGTTGTGAAGAGTGTTAAGCTGGAAGTCGAAGTGGACTGTTTTGCCGTGGCCTGAGGGCCTTTCCAAGCAATGGAAACCCTGCCCGGGCTGAGCAGGCCCCGTTCTGACATCACGAGCGTGATTGTGCGCATGCGCTTCCTTCCAGCCTGGGCGAGCTAGCCCGGTCGGGTCAGCCGTGTCAGGATCGGAAGGACTTAAGGGACGTAAGATGGGCAGTGCTGCTCCTCCAAAGGGTGTGTGCTCAAATGGCCTCTACAGCGCTGATCTAGGTGGTCTGGGTCCCCCTGTCCCATCACCCCTCTCCCCGCCAGCCTTCTGCTCTCCAGTTAAACAGAGCGTGCTTGTGTATTGATCCGTATCTGTTTAGCTTGTTTAGCTCATCCTTATTTTGACCAGGATATGCTCGATTTAGGCTTTATATTTTCTCTTGCTTTTACTACCTTTCTCTTAAATGAGAAAAATAGTTGTGATTTCTTTTCATGTGAGACATTTTTGTCTTAAAGAGATGTAGGTGAAGAAGCGGCTAAATCCTAGATCTGTAAGGACCATGTGGTGGCCTCTCAAACCCAGAGACTGGAAGTAACCACACAGAGTGGCTTGAATGTAAAAATTGCTAACTGAACGTGGGTCACAGTGGGTGGTGACTTCCTGGGCCTTTACTTCCCTGACACAGATCATTCTTTACCTTTGAAATTGTCTATTGTTTTTGAGCATTTAAGATTAGCACACCTTTGAAATGTCAGAGTGATTTTTTTTTAGACCCATTGAAGGGACAACCACAGGCAGCAGAGCAGGACACCACATTGTTATCTTGTCCCCCACATACCATCTCTATGTGCAGAAGAAGCTGCGAAACTGCCATTCTCTGCAGCACTTTCTCAATCCATGGAGATGTTGCTTCCTGGCAATTGTCAGTTTGGCTCAGATGAACTCTCCTAAGGCTTTTTCTTAGGCTGAACGCTTTTTCGTTGACATAGAGAACCATTGACTCAGCAGCTCAACGTTAGAATCCATATCTGGGGGCAGGAAAGATCACTAAAAGTTTGAAAAGGTCCCCAGTAATTCTGATGAACAGCCAGGAGTAAGGATCACTGCTCAGTAGAAGATTGATGTTTACTTATTATTGAAGGTGTTGCTATGTCACTTGGAATGCTTTTCAAACTTGTGAAAAGCCTACCCAGACGGCTGATTATTTTACACTATTTCCCTCTCCGCCTGTGGAGAATTCATTTTCAAGTGAATCTAGATAATAGTATCTGACAATTTGGCCCAGAATTCTGAAGTGAGAGGGATAACCTGTAAGGTTTGGGTGCTTCTTCAGAGGATGCATACTTTCTGGGTGTACATGGAATAAGTTCCTCTTCCCTAATTCTGTCCTTTCCCTTGAATATTGAATGAGGGTTGCTTTTTCAGGAAACCAAAGGTGATTCACCTAAAGGTCAATATCTCTGTAGTTGACAAGTGGTGATGGGATAAGGATCCAGGCGGCTCTGTGTGCTGAGGATAATCAGGACATCTAGGAACTATAAAAGGACAGCTTCCTTGTGCTGCAGTGGGAATTGTACACAGGAACTTCAGTAATGATTAACCACAGAGTCTGAACTGACGTCAGTCAAAGCAAAATAAAAGCCAACACCTGTGAAGCGCCTGCACTGGTTTCTACTCCACAGTCTTACAGAACATGTCTGTTTTTCTCCATAGGTTCGAACCAGTGTCCCGCCTGAACATAAGGATTCCCTGCCAGAGAGTGGGGTAAGTGTTTCTTTTGTTTCCAGAAGGCGCACATATCACATCTAAGTTAATCATTTGGATTTTCCCTGGCTTCCTGCCTAGGCGCTGATGAATGAAACTGAGTTCAATTAACAGGGTGTGACTGGGCAAGTAAGCTCTGTTACATATTTGCTGGATGGCACGGAATTCATTTTTCATCTCCTGAAAATCATCCTCAAATGAATCCATATTTACTTCAGCAGGCTGGCGATGGGTCTAGACGTTGCCCTGCAGGTAGCTGCGATGTGATGCCTCGCCAACATTCCTGGGCCAATAAGAGGCTAGGAAGATTGCAGATGTGAGCCCTGTCTCTTCAGGAAGGTAGCAGAGAACCAACCAGCCATGGGACTGTGAGGTTTTCTGTTTCCTCCTGCTAAAACATGTCAAAACAGTAGTGCAGGTCAAAACAGAAGCTGCCACCTACGTGCAGTCCAGCATTGGAAATTCCTGTTGAGTTTTTCCTGCTGTGTGTGAATCACTGCACCTCCAGCTTTTAGAAGTTCAGAGAGCGAGATTGTAACAGGTGATTTTTGCTTAGGTAAGGCTAGAGTAGGCAGTGGTAGCTCATGAAAAGATAGCCTAGCAGGCTGAGAGGGATCTGTGCATTCAGAGAGGGGGAGAGTCCAGAAATTTTGTGTCCAGCAGGCCCTGGGAGGACCCTGCTGAAAGCCTACTGAAATTCCCTGAAATCCTACAAGTAATTGATAACCTTCTCCAGTCCAGTGGGGGACCCTGTAGGAGGTACCATTCATTTCCTCCTTGGCAACAGCTGTCATCTGAACCTGCCAAGGCAACCCTTCAAAAATAGGCAGCAAAGTGTAAGCTGAATTGCCTGTAAAGAGTGTCAGACGCCTCTGTGTCTAGAAGAGTAGGAGTAAAGGGTACTTGGTGCTCTCTCAGGCCTAACACAAACTTCTGGTTTCTTCTTGGGGGCAGGTCAAATCCCTCGGACTCACGAGAATCCCCATGCTCCCTCTTCTACCTTCCCATTCACATCTTGGGCCCTTCCCAGGCCAGGCCTTTGCTGCCCAGGCCTCATGCCCACCTCTCTGTCCCGGGCTGAGGTCAGACACCTTGAGCCGGTGACCACCCTCCTTCACACTAAGTCGTCACACCCTTTAAACATCCTTCAGAAAACATAAGACCTGTTGGAATTTGTAACCATTAGTAAGTTAACATTTATCTTATAAGGAATTCCATTTATTTTGGGGGGTTCAAGAGGAGAGGTTGAGTTTTGCCCTCTAAATGTTCACGCCCACCCTGAATTGTTCTGTGTTCAATCCTCTTTGCTTGAAGCTTTAATGATATCTTGATATCATTGTGTGCATTTCCCCTGTTATTTTTCTTTTCTCATTCAGATTCTTGGAATGCATCTTATTCATTTTAAAATTTGAATCTCTTCTCTGATTATAAATTCTTTTCTTCCATCCGCTCCTGCCACCATTTTCCACTACAGGCTGGAACTTGTGGTGGAGGGGGAGCCGAGTCTGGGGTTCACACATGTCCCTCCTGTTCCTCCTCTCATTGCCCGTGTGTGGGAGGGGGAGAGTTTCCTCTCTGCTAGTCCATAGGGCAGGGCGGGGGCACCTCCTGCTGCTTCTGATGCTCCTCAGGATAACGCTGCATAGGGGAGCCCTCTGTGCAGTGGATAATAGATACGCTGACTCTCCTGTGAGCACACATGTGGTGTGAATAGTTCACGTACTGACCTTCTCTTCCTATGGCATGGGAAACCATGTGACCTTAACTATTCAGTTGACAGTAGGAAAAAAGTACCTGGGCTCTGAGAAAGGACGGTCCTCCTGGTTATGTGAAGGCAGATGTCAGGTATCAGCCTCAGGATATCACCTTCAGCTCCTCCAAGGCCTTTGGAAACTTACACCACAGTTCCTGTGTGTTGCTTTATAGGAATGGGTCGAAGTATGTATCATCACTATATCCGTTTAACCTCTAGACCAGCCCTATTCAATGGAAAAATAATGTGTGCCACAAATGTAGTTTTAAACTTCCCAGTAGCCCAGGCTTTTAAAAAAGTAAAAAGAAACAGGTGAGATTAACTTTAACATTTTATTTAACCCAATACTATGTGGAAAATATAATCATTCCAAGTTGTAACCAATACAATTACTTATTAATAAATCATTAATCACACTTCTTTGTTTTCATGCCATGTTTTATAAATCTGATGTGTGTTTTATACTTAGAACAGATCTCAGTGGAGAGGCAGGGCTTACGCCAGGGCCGAGCTGGGGGCTGCACTTTGCATAGTGCCGCTCTCGACGTACTTGGAAAGCCCTGGGGGCTCCCTGCACTTTTGAGAATGAAGGAAGCCTGGACTTGGAGTAAAGGCTTTGGGAGATGTGCAGCCGTGATGGAGGCCTGGCCAGCTCGTGGCCACGTGGAGGGGGTTGTGCGTCCCCTGGCTCCCTGTGCAGTTCTGCTGGACCAGGGGACGGACCACTGAGGACCTGCTCCAGGGAGGCGGGCAGCCCCGGCGAGCGGTGGGCGGTGGGGATATCTGTGATTGGCTTCGGGTCCCTGCCGGGGCTGGTGAGAGAAAGCGTTCGTTTGTACACTCCCCGCAGAGAGCAGCTAGGGATTGAGACAGGTGCTTTCCTTTTTTCCACCCTGCTTGACATCACACTCTCCAGCCAGGTGAGTGATTGAAATCGTGCATCAAGCCATTTAATGATCATCAGCTTTGGGTGCCTGGACCAGAAGGATAATTGTGAGTGTGGCGCTGTCATGAGCAGGCTAGAAAGGTCAGGGCCGTGCATGGTGCAGACAGAGGGCCTGTCAGAAGGAGCGGGCATGGCCACCTGTCTTGGAAACGAGGCACAGCGTGATGGGGATGAAAGAATGCTACACTGAAAAGCAAGGAGCCTGGACTTGGACTTGGCCTCTGCATATTAACTAGTTCTGTGACCAAGTGTAAACCAGTTAACCCCTTTCAGCCCAGTTTCTTTATCTACAGACTTAACAAACCTTGATATTCTCAGATTCCAGGTGGACGTTTCTTGGGCCCCAATGGACATTCCACATAGTCTTATAAAAATTTGAACTACAATGAATTACAGGTAGCATGTGCTCAACAACAGTAACTATATAGGACCATATACCCTTTGTATTTTATTTTTTTCACTTTTAATCTTTAATTTCTTTTAATTTATATATTTTTCTGAATCTAATTTTTACTTTTAAACACATATGTATGCACATATTTTATTGAAGGGATTTCTCATAAAACATAATGAGAAAAAAATATATTTTTAAATCCTCTGACTTTTTCAAAGAGTACGTAAGGTAGACTTATCACACTTTCAAGTCAGCTGACTTTGGGGTGGATGACCTCAATCACTATGCAAGCTAGTATTCATGGAATGCTTCCTATTTTCTCAGCAATGCACTAAGTGCCTTTCCTGGGTAGCTTTGACTCTAATAACAAAACTATGAGAAAGATAAACAGTGATCACATGCAACTTTGGCATATGGAACTTGGGCCTAGGGTGGAGGAGTAACTTGTCTGAGACCACAGGTTTGTGAGAGAGAAGACAGAGAGGGCTCGGCAGTGCCATTGGTGGACAGCCAGCCTGGGGCCTGGGGAAAGAGATTTATTTGCCTGAATTTCCATTTTAAACAGAATGCTGGACTTAGGACCACACTTTAGACCTCTGAGCTCCAGCTTTAGTGAGGCTTTACATTTTTTGTTTGTCTTTTTTTATTTTTCTCCTGATATCAGAGCTCCCAATTGAAAACCTTTAAGGTGAGAATTTTAGAAACAATACTGAAGGAGAGATGGAAAACATTGTTTCTTGAGTTATATTTGAAATATTTAAAAAAATTTTAAAGGATTTTATGATTATGATTACAGTGACAACAAAGATGGAATAGGTTTACATTCAGGTAGTCTTTTACATTAGGTTGACAAAGTTATTTATTTTACATTCTCTGCTGTTTTTCCTCATGGGAATTCATATTTCAAAAATAGAGAAGACTGTTTTCCCTGTAATTCATTTTTTTACCAAGAGTCCAGTGAATATTTATGAGAATGAATGATGTGTTTTCCAAGTTTGCGGGCTGCAGAGGGCCCTAGTTTTCATTATTCTGAAGTAAAGCAAATACATGAAAACCTTCCAGGAAATAAACATATAGGCAATGCCATTGTTGGTGTTGCAACGTGCAACAATTAGACATCGCCGTGAAACTTTGGGATTTCATTCATGCATTTTATGCAACAGGTGGTCTCAGTGTGGTTATTTTTAAAATAAATATGATAACGTTCATACCTAAATAACGCCTCTTCTGGTTTCATACATTTTCATAATGTAAAATGCTATGATGCCATATCCCAAGTGGATTTTTAACACGTTGAATTATTTTTGTGAGATCTCTTATTACCCCGTGAGAATACGTATATGGCTGGCAGTTGTGATGGAAAAGATTGGCTCGTGGTGGGTGTTCTTGGCCCGTTTCAAACTCTTACAGTGCAGCCCCTGTGTCCCAAGCAGTCGCTGGACTCAAGGATGGTCAAGGCAAGGTCCCGCTTCCGCAGAGCTCCTGGTATTGGGGACAGGAGGGACATTCAATAGCTTATGGTCCCAGTCTCTACTTGCAGCTGTGCCTTATGGCGTGTCTGTTGTCCATGTCTGAAAATAGCCACTCCACCTGTCTCCTCTTGCTACATTCCAGTCTGGGGCATTTGCTCTTGTACTTGCTGAACAGACCACAATAACATTCATGCAATGTGTAGGGGTTTAAAAAAAACTTAGTTCTAAAACCATCCATGCTATCAAAATCTCAAAAGGCAAATGGTGAGGCGTTATGAAATTTATGATCGGTTAAGAGTTTTCTCTGAGTGAGGGTAGCAAGCATGTGGTGGGAATTTAAATTAAAAATGCTGATAATTAGTGAAAGAGAAAGTGAGACTTCTTCAAAATATAAAGGTTCAATGAAAGTTACCACCACAGCACAATCTACACACTAATATTGTTTTGATTTTTCACATTTCAGTAGTTTATAAATATTTGCAGAAAGAGCATTTCTCCTGTATCTAATAGAATAACTTGAAGCTAATGCCCGTGCCATTCATCCATTCATCGTCAGTAAATATTTATCATATGTCTGCTGGGTGCTACGCAGTGGGAGTTATCAGAGAACAAAATAAAGCTCGTTTGGAGCCTCAAATCTCAGTTATTTTGTGGGGGTGGGTACAAAATAAGCAATCTTGAGTGTGCATATGTGTGGATGTGGTGGTGGTGATGAGGAACAGTAGAGGAAAATCGAACAGGACAGGGAACGGGGAACGGCAGAGCCTCTGTGCTCTTTCATACGAGGATGTTCTCATTGGCATTTCCGATGGAGTCACATAAATGCTCTTGTTCAGCTGGATCTCTCCCTCGGCTCTCTCTGCCTCTTGCTGCAAGTCGCCCTGCACTTCTGCATGCTTTGCCCACACAGCTTCTGGACGACCTTCTCTGCCTTGGTTCACTCTTATCTGTTGCTCATTGACTGAGCTTCAGAGTTGGTTTCCACAAATCCCCCATTTTCACCTGACCTTTTCCACCTAGTAATTTAGTCTCATATTCTCTTGGCATTGGCAACTCCATGCCTAAACCCGCTCTTTGAATTCAAGTTAATTAACTGGGTTGATCATTACTGACATATAAGCATTTCTAACTTTAAAACTGAGTTTATTTCAAATGTTTGCCTTTAGCCTTTTGGAACAGTTCTCCTATGTTACAACTTTGAAAAGAGGGAGGAAAATTCTGCCCAGAAGCTTTTCTCTCCTGTTTTTGACAATCACTCAGTGTAGATGCAGCCTTTTATGTGAGGAATAATTGCATACTTTCCTCTGAAAAGACCCATTTGGCACCCCCATCTCCCATTCGAGTGCAGCCTGCAACAGACCTATGAAGAGAGAAGGTTCTGGAAGATGCAGTGTTGACTCTTGTAGCATATTACAATGTGTTAGGCAGCAGTGGCATAGGTAGCACTGTGGGTTTGATCGTTCCATGTTTACTTCTTGACCTTGAGAGGAGAATGAAAAATCCTATTCATGGTACACCCTAATCCTGTGACTTTTAAATCAGAAGTAGCCAGAGATGTTAAAAAGAGATGAAAGATTTTTATCCTGGAAAAGAAAAACCAATTTAGAGTTTTATTCTTTACTTTTTGAGTCAAAGAGTGGAGAAAGGGGATACTCATACATAGTCAACACTCAGTACGATAGGTTAAAAAAGCAATTTTAGACAATGTAACTGAACAAGTACCAGTCTTTTTTGTGGGTTGGAATGAAGTTGTCCCATGCTAATATAGAAATGACAAAGGAAACAAATGCTTTTAAACATTGCTGTGATGGGGGAGAAATATAGCATTTCTATTTATAACTTGTCCAGAGTCCCACATAAAAATAGCTCCAACTACCAGATTTGCTCATATCTGGAATCCAGCGGTGTCGCTGCTAGGGACTTGAGGATTCCTGGTGAGAACAACGACCGCGTTGGTAACTATCGGAAGTCTCTCCTCTCTCTTTTATCCCCCAGCTTCCATAAGGGGAAGAAATTAGCCAGCGGAAAAGTCCTGGCTTCTGTAGTACACATTTTTGTCATTTTCCAGGATACTTGTCTTTGTTTTCAGTGAAAAGGATGTGTTTGCACCCCCAGGACTTACCCCATGAGGTGGACATACTCGTGATGATTGCATCTCAGCCCGTGAAATGTTTCTCAGGCTAAGAGATTTAACCTTTTATTCTTCTAGAGACTGGTTCTGTGTGGTTGGTGTGACAGCAAAAATTATTAGGAACCTCTGAAGTTAATGAAAACTGTTCTTTCTCTCATTTTCAGCGAAGCTTCCTGGGCTATGCCAGCTTTAAAGTGGGGGAACTGCTGAGGTCAAAGGAGCAACTGCTAGCCCTGAGCCTGAGGTAGGTCTCTGTCAGCAATAATGCTGTTGAAGTTAACAGCCTGTGATGTTTACTGAAGGCTGGTTGGCTCTGAGAGTCACAGTTCTTGCACGTGTTTAGATGCCACCTCTCAAATGGCTTATATCCTCCATTGCAACAAGTTGCATTGAAACGGCCATTATTCAAGTTCCCATTCAAGCTCATGTTTCTGATTGTCAAAGGTTATCAGCCCTTGTAGGAAAATAATATTGCATTATCACTAAAGTGATGAAATGTTTTGAAAGTGAATAAGCCATAGAAGTGATGATCATGTTATTAAGTAATTTTTGTTACTTATTACATTGTTAGTTCTTACATCAAGTACATTTCTAGGATTGAAGTATGTTGGTTAGAGGCAACATTGCAGATGTTTTTGATCCTGGAGGCTGAAATGATTTTTCTCTTTTTTAAAGCTTATTTTGTTGCTATACTCTTATATATAAAAAAGAAGTTAAGATAGACTGATATTGAAACAGACAACAGATAAGAGCTACTTTTGAGTAGGAGTACAATTTGTTTTGATATAGAAGATGAAATAATCTTCAGGAAGTTCTGTAGTGTTTTTAATACTAAAAAGAGTGTTAAAAATATTTCTCTCTAACTTTATACTAAATTTGAAACAACAGTGTTGCTTTCTAACTATATAATAACTTTTATCATTATATACATGGAGAATACTGCCTTGCAATATTTGTATAGAATAAATTAATATGAAAATGGTATAAAACACTACTTGTAAACTTAAAAGGCTCCTCTTTTGATGAAACATAGAGGCCACTCTCAAAGAAGAGACAGTATCTTAAGTTCGTTTGCTGTTCTGACCCAGCCACCATGGACCCACTTGTACCCAATAATTTATCAGTAAAAGTGCTGTGACTTATGCTGAAACTGGTGCCACTGGCTGACTCCTTCTGTGATTTTTCTTGATTTGTACAGTTTTGTATTTTGACTGAATAGTTAGTACAAAATAACTTAAAGTAATTTATTTTCATGCATAAAAATAAGTGTTGGTGGGTTCAAATGAAGCCACCGTCTCCTCTCTGGCATTTTTGAGGCTGTTGCTTTTTTCTTGTTGTATTTTATTTGAGAAGGCATTTAAAAATCTTTATAGCTTGTGAGTGTTATTCCCAACAAAGTTCTGTTGCATTTATTTTTGTTTTGAAGGTTGTAGGGGCCAGCTGAAAAGTCTAGCTTTCAATGTTGCTAATAACCCTGGAAAATAACCTGTCACCAACCCAACGGGTGGTTACATCTACCCCAGGGGCCGCTGGATTCACGGAGGATGTCAGTCACTGAGCTAACTTAGAGCTACTAGTAGGCCACATGTTTTCTGGATAAGATGCATAATGCTTTATCCCTCCATTTGCTGAGTCACAAGCTGTAGATTTAATTTTATCCTAACTGTTATCAAAAGCAGCATACTATACAACATTCAGACACTGCCTTTGAAACAGAAATCAGGGGACCAGAAATTCTTAGTGAAATGAAAATTGGTGAACACACACACTGCCTTTGAGGGAGGAGAGGAAGAGGAGGGTCCCATTTAGAGTATAGCCCTTGGAAGAAAATAGGAATAGGATAATTTCAGCTTTAGAGACTATCAAGGCAAATTTCCACTTTTGATTCAATACTCCTAATTCCTATTCACTTGAGTCTGATTGTATATAAGAAAAACAAGTTTAACAACATCAAATTGCATTTTCTAGAAAGAAACAATTTTTGAAAATCAATTTTGGAATGGCTAGGTTATTATTTTTCCTTTTTGTGCTTTGCCACATTTTGGGATTTCTCTTCCTATGAACCGGACACATTATAGACTAACATAGCCTTTGATTTCTGGTGCTTCGTGTTTTTTACTTCTGACATAATTTATCTTCTCTCTACTGCCTTGATAGTCTCTGAGGTACTGAGTTGAAGAACATTCAGCCAGAGATAAGAAGGATGCTTTTGGTTGTTTGTTTTATTTTGTTTTTCACTGATTGTATCTGACTTCTATTCCTTTTATAGTCTAGACATTTTTAAAGCAATAGAATTCTCAAATTGTTATGTTTTCTGATAGACAGATGTATGGGAAAGACTATTAAAGAAATAAACATTAGACTTCTAATGTTCATTTTAAAATTTCCCCTATTTTATGTAACATTTATAGGTGTATATATTCATGCATATACATATATATCATAGTTCGTGTTTTTGCATATGTGTTTGTTCATCTGTATGACTTTAGAACTATTTTTCTTTCTGACAAACTATGAGTACTTTTCTATTGTCAAATATTTGTGCTTACAGAAAACCCAAATTATGATGTCTTTACATTTTTATTTCTTGAAGTTTTGTTAACCACACACTTCAGTTTTGTTGTCTATAAAAATAAAAGAACAATAGAGAAAACCCACATATTTTGACCTCAATCCCAAAGGCATGCTCTTCACTTGAGAGCTAGAAGAAAGGCTAAGGAAAGGCTCCTTAAGCTATGACACAGTTTTCTCAAGAAGTTCACTCAGCGTGAGGAAGAGATGAAACTGCCACCAGCCCCTCACATGCTGGGAACCCAGGCGTATTCTAGAGGTCACAAGAAAGTGAGTCAGAGCACGTTTGTGCTCAGAATCCTATGGGTGTCTAAACCCCACAGGGACTGGAGACTCTCCTTGGCCATGGACTGACAGTTCAGTTTTATTTATTTATTTATTTATCTATTTATTTATAGTTTATTTTTTATTTTTCAAATGCATTTGTCTCCATTTTCCTGCCACCACTTTTTCCTGCCCCACCTGCCCCTGCCTCCCACCCTCAACCCTTCCCCACTTTGGCTTTGTCCTTGGGTCTTTTTTACATGTTCCTTGATTTGACAGTTTTAAATGATAAGTTTCTTTTTTTCTGCTCAGATGGAATTAAACTAGCTTTGAAGTTTCCCTGCACACAGATAAAGGTTATGCAAGTCTTTTTACTTTCAACACCAGATACATTCTTTAAAATTCTATGTATGCTTTAATACTTCTGTAACAATATCTTTTCTAATCAATTGCTACTTGAACTTCAGGCAGGAGTCAGAAATACGCATCCATGCATTTTAACTGTTATATATATCTTGAACACTTTTCACATTCTCTTGAAAGTCTTCCAGTTAGCTTTTTTAGGTACCAGAAAGTAGGAGCGCAGCAACAATTTCTGGTGGTTTCACAACACTAATTGTTATGTGTGTCTAAAACATTTTCTATATTAAATAAGGGCTGTAGATACCGACTGGTGGCCAAGAAACCCTTTTTGAGAGAGACTAGCATATTCGTGATTAATTTGAAAACAGAACAGTGTTACACTTTATGGAATGTACCAAAGGGAAAGTTACAGGATGTGGATGGCATGTAAAAAGTTAACTTAATTGATGCTTTTGCATAGAATTTACTGAGAATGCACATCAGAAACCTTGGAGGGATGCATACGAACACTACATTATTTTTTGTTGAGAGCAAACTAGCACGAAAATGGGCAAGTCAGTAGCAAATGCACGCCCGTGACTGAGCCAGATGCGTGTCTCGGGGGAGCCGTCACATCCTGGAGCCCTCCCTTCCCTGTGCTTCTGGTGCGATCCAAGTGGCTGTGACACAAAGCTCCTCCAAATGGCTCCTCTGACTCTGACACTGGCTCGGACCACACAGACACGTAGGAAGAGGTAACGAACACTATTGGAGCTTCACGAGGGATACCCATTCGTAATGTCGTTGTGTTTGATCTTCTAACAACCTTGCCTGGAAGGTGATATTATTCCTGTCTTACTAATAAGCAAACTGAGTTCCTACGGTCATACAACCGGCACGGGATGGAAACGTGGAGATTGGGAGAGAGGGGTTCTTGATATCAAGGACTTCCTAAAGAATAGATATTTTGCTTAAAATCTTAGAATTAAACAACGGTAGAGCCCAGCAGAGACCTTGGCACCTCAGCTGCTTCTTGGTCACCGTTAATGGCAGGGACTCAAACTCAGGGGGCCATGCATTTTTCCATTTTCTAACAAGTCTGTGCTAGAAAATAGTCCTATTCCGTCCTGAGTTGTATTGCCTTGCAGTGGTCCCAGCACTCCTTTGTGGAGGGAAGTGAAACAAGTCTCATGCCTTTTCTCTGTGATCGCATTTGAAAGCAAGCAGCTATTTTGTCCAACTACAAATCTTTTCTCTTTTTTATACTCAGGAAGGAATGTAATGTAATAGAACAATGGAACACTAGACTTTCATACCAGACTTTGGTTCAAGTCCCAGCTTGTCAACAACTGTGTCACCCGGGCATACCTATTCTTCAATATCTGTTCACAGAAGTGATAATGACCTCCCTGCCAGGGTGATTCTGGGCAATTGATAAATGCAGTGTCATCCTACGCACTTCTTTGCATTAGTGGGAAGTCCTCTATAGAGATTGTTTTCCTTCTTGTTTTGGTTGCTTGCCTGGTGTGCTGAGGTTCTGTCTCCACAAGCCTCCAAGCTCGTCAGTGGTGGAGGAGTTGACTTAACCTTTGATCTGGACATGCCAATTCTAGTATCTGAGGAAGGGATACTTACCCAAAACCTAAATGCTGGCTTTAATTGCTGTGACGCGAGACTTGGCTTCTTAGGTGCAGGTACCAGCAAGAGGCTTATGGAGAGCCGCCCGTTTGGCCAAAACAAGCAGCATCCCAATAGAAGTAGGGAAAAAAATAAAATTGGTTTTGACTTAATACTTTAGCAACATAACACTAAAACTGGAACAGAAATTTATACATGCAACACAGAGTGTCAACTGCTTTTCGAGTTTACTCCTGCGTTTTGTTGCTGACTTTATCGAAGGCAGTCTGCAGAGTCAGTTCAAGTCACATCTCTCAGGACCAGACCACGAGAGTGAAGGGAGGCATCAAGAACAGAAGTAGGTGTGTTGGCTTCTGAAACTGGTTTTATTCTTTTATGTAACTGCTTAATGTCTTTTAGGGGCACAATTCCTTAATATTATCGAAAGGC